CCCATCGTTCACATCCCACTCCTAATCTCTCAGCAAATCCAAGGGCCTCTTGGTCCAAATCACACTCTCCCTCTGAACACTTCTCCACACAGGGACTGCTGGCCCCTGGCCAAGCTGGTCATCTCTTGCCCAGACGCAATGGTCCCCTAAAGGTCCCCCTGACGCTGTCCCACAGCTCCGCTCCCAGCCATCTTTGAGAACCCAGGTCAGACCCCTTCCACACTCACTCACAACCTTGCACGACCCCTCCTCACCCAGAACAGAGTCAGCGTTCCTTATCACAGGCCCCAGGGACTCGGCCCTGCCACTCGTGTGACCTCAGCACCCACCCTGTGCCCCATACTCATGCCCCTGGGGCTGCACTGGCCTCCTGCCAAGCACATGGGGCCTCGGGGACTGTGCTAGCTGTTCCACAGAGGTACATGGCTCCAGGCTTGCTCTCCAGCTTAATAAATGCATGAAGGGGTAAAAAGGAACAAACCACAGCCACAATCATCAACGACAAGGATGTGTCATAAATACATAATATTGAGTTGAAAGAAGCAGGTGGCAGAAGACCATGAACCCCACACTGGTCTTACCAGGCAGCATGTTGTGGAGGGACCTGTAAGTCGGAGGCCCACTTATGAGGGGGGAGGATGAAGGACAGCAGTAACCCTGGGCGGGGTGCCCACACAGGGGCTTCCGGATACTAGGGAGACCCTATTTCTTAAGCGCATGGGCGTTGTTTGATTGTAATCTTTAAATTTGGTTACAGTTTTCTTGAGGAACATTGACTGCCCGCATTTAATTGTATAATTTAATAAGGTTTGACACATGCTTACACCTGTGAAGCTACCTCCCTAATCAATATAACTGATATGTCCGTCACCGCAAAGCTTCTCCGTCACGCCTTTGGAAACCCCCCCTTCCCTCTCTGCCCCCTGTCGTGGACAGCCTGCTCTCTATTGCTATAGAGTAGTTGGCATTTTCTAGCATTTTATATAACCATATAAATTTTATATAAATCCTATTTATAAGTTGTATAGATATACCAAAATTTGTTTACCCACTCATCTGTTGATTGACATTTAGGATGTTCTCAGGTTTCGTGAGTTGAAAATAAAGCTGCCGTGAGCACACACGTGCGAGCCTTTGTATGGCGCACGCTCCCGTTTCTTTTGGTAAATACCTAGAAGTAGAATGGCTGGGTAGAATGGGGGTGGGGTCGGCTTATGGGTAACTTTTTAAGAACCTGCCCCACTGTTTCCCAAAGTGGTGGTAACATTTTACATTCCCACAGTTGCGTCACGTTCCTGTCAACACTTGACCTTTTTCATTTTGGCCACCCTGGTAAGAGTGCAGCAACATTTTGTTGTGGTTTCAATTAGCATTTTCCTAATAATGTTGATCATCTTTTCATATGCTTGTCTGTCATCCATATGACCTCTTTTGTGAAGCACCTTTTCAAATATTTTACCTGCTTTTAAAATTGAATTGTCTTGGGCGGCCGAGTGGCATGTTGTTTAAGAACTGGCTTGGGACGCCAGAGGGCCCCGGTTCGGATCCCACATATGAGGGCCAGTGACACTGCCCTCTACAGCTAAGATGCTGAACAACAGCTCGACCTGGAGCTGGGCTGCCGTGAGTCGCCGGGCGACAGCGTAGGCTGCAGCCCCTGCTGCAGTGGGTTGCGATGGGCTACCATGTGTAGCCAGCAGCCAGCGTGAGCAGCCGTCCAGAAGCTGGCGACTGATCTGCCTCACCTGGGAACTGTCTTTCGGAACGCAAAAGTTTTTAGTTTTTACGAAGTCCAATATATCATTTTTTCTTGTGTTTTTGTGTCCTATTTAAGTAATCTTTATCAAACTCAAGGTTGCTAAAGTTTTCTCCTGAAAGTTTTATAATTTTGGCTTTTACATTTAGGTCTATGATACATTTAAAGTTAATTTTTGTATTCGTGTGAGTTAGGGTTGAATTTCTTTTCTCTCTCCTCCCTTCCTTCCTTTCTTCCTTCCTTCCTTCCCTCCTTTCCTTCCTTCCTTCCTTCCTTCCTTCTCTCCCCTCCTTCCTTTCATTTTTCCTTCTATCCTTTCTTTCACATGACTATCCAATTGTTCCAGCATCATTTGCTGAGGAGATTGTTTTCCCCTTATTTAATTTATTTGACACCTTGGTTGAAAATCAATTAACCATATATGCATGGCTTTATTTTTGAACTCTTAATTCTATTATATCAAACAAAAGTTGTCTAACTTTGTTTTTCTTTTTCAAAATTTATTTGGCTGACCCAGGTCCTTTGTATTTTCATATAAACTTCAGGATAAGCTTGTCAATTTGTACCAAAAAACCTGCTGGCACTGGACTGGGATTGCACTGAATCTATAAATTAATTTGTGGAGAACTGACATCTTGGTAATATACGCATAGTCTTCTAATCCATGAATATGGTATATCTCTCTATTTATTTAGGTCTTCTTTAACTCTCTTAGCAATGTTTTATAGTTTTCAGTGTATGGGTCTTGCCTTTATTCTGTTGAATTTATCCCTAGGTATCACTTTTTTCTCATGCTTTTGTTAAGTGGTACTTTCTGATTGTTCAATTTCTTATTGTTACTAGCAAACAGAAATACAATAGATTTCTGTATATTGACCTTATATCCTACAACCTTTCTAAACTCATTTATGATTTCTAGTAACATTTTAGATTTCTTAGAATTTTTTTGTTTGTTTGTTTGGTTTTTTTTAGCTGCGCCATCCTGCCACCTATTGTCAGCTCAGCAGCAGCTCAGCTCAGGCCAGGAATCAAACCTTTGTTGCTCAGAGCTCACACTCTTGAGCAAGCGAGCCCTTAACCAACTAAGCCACTCGGCCGGCTAGATTTCTTAGAATTTTTTACAATTATGTCATATGCAAATAAAGACAGTTTTGGCTTCCTTTTTTTCTTCTTGCCTTATTGTA